TTGATGGATCGAGGGTCTGGTTCAGGATGAGTCAGCTTCATTTGCTCTTGTGTGTTCATGTTCCTGAGTGGTATTTTTGTTATATGTGCAAAGAGGCACTTCCTCGGTGCAGCAGATCTTACAGGCCAGTGTTTCCCAACCTGTGGGCTGGGACCTACAAGTGGGTCGCAAAGCCTGCAGAAGTGGTTGCAGGCTCTCATGGCGGCCGTTCCCCTCCTCGCCTGGCGCCCAGCTGAACACGCACTGGGAATCTCCAAGGTGGGGCGTAGTGAGCCAGCCAGCAGTCCCTGGTGACCTAGGCTGAAGCTGCGGCTACGCCTGGAAAGCAGCACCCCCTTGCCCAGCCCAGCATCCAGCTCCCTGATCCCCCTCATGGTTTCCTTTCCTCGGCTGCACTCCTGCCCACACTTGCCTTTGATGGCAGTGCCACCTGGCTGCCTCTCAGCAGTCACCAAGGGATGTGTGTGTGGTTTAAAAAAGCGGTTTGTGAGCCGCTTCTGCTGTGGCCTGCTTCAGATGTCCCCTTGCTTGCTCCACTGCTGCGTGGTCCAGCAGCAGCTCCCAGGCTATGGGTACACAAGAGCACTGGTGGGCTTGCTGGGGGTGGAGGGGGGGCCCCTGGGCAATGGTGGTGGAAAGCGCCTTCAACTCACCGCTGAATTATTTTATTTTGAGATTTTTATTCCGCCCTCTCCAAAGCGGGATCAGGGTAGATCACAAAAATCAAGTTAAAGACTCATTACAATACAGGAGAGAGCTGTGAAGAGCTGTGTATTTTTGCTATGAGTACAAAGAGGCAACCCATCGGTCCAGCAGATCTTACAGGCCAATGTTTCCCAACCCGTAGGCTGGGACCTACTCACCTCCCCACACTTGTCTCTGATGGCCATGCCACCTAGCTGTTTCTCAGCAGTCGCTAAGGGCTGTGTGTGTCTATTAAGGGCTATTTGTGAGCTGTGTCTGCTGTGGCCTGCTTCAGATGTGCCATTTTCTTGCAGTGACTATATGCGAGGGCACCGGTGGGCTTGCTGGGGGTGGAGGGGGGGCCATGGGCAATGGTGGTGGAAAGTGCTGTCAAAGTCATAGATGAATTATGCTGATCCTGTAGGGTTTTCAAGGCAAGAGACGTTCAGGGGTAGGATTCTCCTGCCTGGATACTGGGAACCCAAAAGTATTTGTGTGCTAACAGCATGAGAAGTCTGGTGATTACTGACGTAGTCAGTGTAACCTTGAGGAGGGGGAGCAACTGATAAGAGAACTTGCCTACATACACACACATTCCTTAGTTCATATCTCATGCCTAGGATGATGTAATGTATAAAAGAAAGGAGGGGAGGAGGAAACGTTTTTTCAATAAATACAGCTGTTGAGTGAGAGGGGGGAGATTCGATTCGTTCGTTCCTTCCTTCAGTCAGCTTTCTGCAGAAGCTGTTTGTCTTGTGTTGTCTTTGCATCGCCTGCACCCCCACACCCCAACGAGTGACCCCACACAGGGGTGGTTTGCCATTGACCCTGGTGTTCCTTGGTCCCCCAGCCAAATACTAACCCTGCTTAGTTCCCCAGATTTGAGATCAGGCTAGCCTGGGCTATCCAGGACAGGGCCCATGGACAGTAGTGCAGAGACTACACTTGGGAACTCCGTAAGGACTTGCAGGAAGCATCTCATTTCCCCCTCCCCCACCATTTCTGCTTTTCCATTCCTGAAAGCCCACATAGCCTTTCCCGGCTTCCTTTTCTCCTTCTAGGGTTGCCAAGCTCCCGGTGGGGCCTGGAAATCTGCTGGAATCACAAAAGATCTCTCAAATTCAGAGATCGCTTCCCCCAGTTAGGGTTGCCAGCTCCAGTTTGGGAAATCCCTGGAGATTTTGGGGTAGAGCCTTGGGAGGATGAGGTTCAGGGAGGAAAGCAACCTCAGCAGGGTATACCCTCCAAAGCAGCCATTTCTTCTAGGGCGGTGGTAGGCAAACTGCGGCTCTAGAGCCACATGCGGCTCTTTGGTCCCTGGAGTGTGGCTCTTCCGCTGTAGGTGCTGATGGCCTATTCCCTCCATTGTTCTCTATGGTGGGAAAAAAGTAACTTTTCCCGGTGGGGCTTGGGAGATCTGCTGGAATCACAACAGTTCTCTCAAATACAGAGATCGCTTCCCCCAGTTAGGTTTGCCAGCTCCAGGTTGGGAAATCCCTGGAGATTTGGGGGTAGAGCCTTGGGAGGATGAGGTTCGGGGAGGAAAGCAACCTCAATAGGGTATAATGCCATAGGGGCTACCCTCCAAAGCAGCCATTTCCTCTAGGGGAACTGGTCTCTGTCATCTGGAGAGCAGCTGTAATGCTGGGTGATTTCCAGCCCCCCACCTGGAGGTTGGCAACTCGAGTTCCCCTGGAGGAAATGGATGCTTTGGAGTGTGAAATCTATGGCATTATACCCTTTTGAAGTCTCCCATCTCTTCAAACCCCACAGCACATTATTGTATGGACAGGCAGGCACTAGGCTCACTACCCTTTTAAAAGTGTTGGGAGTTCTACAACCCAATGCGAAACCATAATCATTTGACATGAGAAATCTTCAGCCAGGATACAAATGCTTTGGCAGGCTCCCGCTTCCATTCAAATTTTTATCTCACCCTTCTTCCAAGAGCTCTGGGAAGCAGTCCTTCTTCTGCCCTTCTCCTTTGGACCCTCAATGCAACCCACTGAGGCAGCATGGACTGACAGAGAGTGACTGGCCAAGCCATTTTGATGCCTGAGGTAGAAAATTCAAACTGCATTTCTTCTGCTAGAGAACACTGGCCACAATTCACTATGGCAGTAGGAACTTTGGAAAAACACAGTCACTCTTTAATCTTAAACTAAGGCTCACCCAGAAGTTCCCACCCCATGGTAAAATCAGTCATTCCATCTTGGCACCTGAATGGGACCCAAATAGGCACTGCTTTAGTCATAGTGGTGCTGTTGGTGTGGATTAGTGATTCTTTACCAGGGCCACATAGTCATCCGAGGAATGATCTACAAAACCTAGGGAGCAAATAGATTTGGGACTGATGCCTTTATACCCTCGGTTTCATGTGGGCTGGGAGGTACTGAATGATAATGCTGCATACTTAGTGGGCAGGAGTGGATTTCTCTGCTCTATATCCACCTTCGTCTTTTGTGCCACTCTGCCACACTGTGATGTTAAATCACATAGTAACAGTTTAACAAACTCTTTCTGCTCAGCCAATATGCCACCAAATCTTAAGAGGTTGATTTGGCCCCCAGGTTGGAAACAGAGACACAACTGAAAACCTAATAGAGAACTCTGAAGAGATGGTGAAGAAAAGGCCCTTCAGTACAGCTACTTACATTGCTCCCTGCAATACCTGCCCTCCCTGGGATCACCGGAAATGATGATAGAAGCAAAGGTGGCCTCCTGAACTCACCTGCTTTTATACATCAGCCTGCATGCCACTTGATGGACAGCAGTTTTATTTAACTACATTTATACCCCCTGCATTTCTCCCCAGTGGAGACCCAAAGTGGCTTATATTGTTCTCCTTCTCCTCCATTTTATCCTCACAACAACAAAACATCCAACCCTGTGAGGCAGGTAAGATTGACAGTGTGTGACTAGGGCCAAGGGTCACCCAGCAAAAGCTTTCATGGCAGATCAGGGGTTTGAACTGGGTCCCCCAGATCCTTGTCCGACCCTCTTGGCCACTACGCTACGGTGGCTCTTGGTACCCTAACATAATCAGCACTACCCCAAAGCAGCTACAAGTTTCTTTCTGGTTCCAAAGCCCACCGATTTTTAATGGCCCTCTGCACTGGTATTACTTGTAGAAACATTTTGCCTGGAATGAGCCTGCCAAGAAAAAGGTCATCTAGATCATGATGGGAGTTGCCATTCTGTGAAAAAGGAAGAGAAGGACTCCACACATGATGGAACTGGATAGGTTTAGCCATCAAAGGCCTTATCCTTGACCATTCACGGCCTCTGCAGGATAAACTGGAAGGTTTCTATGCCTCTGCGGAGAAAGAAACACTGGATTTTTTTTCCCTTTGGAAAAGCAGAACTAATTTTCAATAATTCCATTCATTAACTTCCTCCACTTTAATCCATTGCATCAGATAGTAAAGCAATACAGTCCAGCATATTAAAAGGGAGTAAAATCAGTTATGCAACAATTGCTAACATCCAGCATTTGCAGATGATTCTCCCCCCCAACCTGGTTTTCTTGTATATGCACCAGTAGCTAGAATATTATTTTTTACAATTAACAAAAAGTGTAAGAAAGGTCCAACTAACTCTACAAGAAAATGCATGAATTTGCACACACATGAATTGCGACTATCACAAGCTGCTTTTTCTAACTCCAAGCAGTTTGTTAACACAGCGCAGTTGCTGTTCAGGAAAAGTACCTGTACTATGCACAGATCTCAAAAAGGAAGACAAAGAATGGGGGGAAAAGGGGATGGGAGAGAGAAGCTCTCACAGGGAGTAGGGAGGTGTTGGTCATAAGCTGTGCTGAAAACATTCCCCAGGAAAGGGCTAAAAACTTGACTTCTTGACTGGACATTTTAAGACTGGGAGTCCTTCAAGGTTGTGTTTTCTGTGTCACCCAAGAAAAGGTTGCATGTTTTTGCTTCTATGAGAAAAGTCCATGTTCTCTCTCTACAAGTTTTCTCCAGAGCAACAAAACCAGCTGTCAATGGGGAGGATCTTAATTTCCCTTATCCAGTCTTCACCGGAGCACATAAATCATTTTGCAGGTATTACCACTGAGTATCACTGGTTTAGTATAAGACATTTTTAATTTATCATTTTACACTTTTTAAAAATGCTTCTTTTGCCAACCTAGACATGTAACCTTGGAATAACATGTGGAATCATTTCACAGTAGCTGAAGACAGCACTTGATTTTCATAGAGAAATTACAGAAATCTTAAACAACTGTTTCACTAAGGCCAAATTCTGATGAAACTTACTCTGTTTGTATAAACCAAACTTTTTCAAGGTAGTCATGCTTACTTCGTATTATAGGTTTCCTTTAAAGCCTCCAGTGCCTGTTCCTGGGTTATCCTTTTCCAGTCCTCTGGCAGGTCTGCTGGCTTAGCTCCATATTGATGTGCAAATTCATGAATGAACTCTTTAAAAACAAACTTCCAGTAATCAGAAGCACTGATACTGGGATCTGGTTGGATGCACCAATCTGGATAATAGACCTGCACCAATCTGGAGAATAGACCCGGTAGTCTTTGTATGGATGCCATTTCCATTCAGTTTCTGCAGCTCTGAAGTTGCACTGGGAAACTACAAGAGTGGAACACAATTCGTAAATAAGCTTTTCCGTATTGACCCATCTATATTTTCCCAGTCCTTGGGGCCGATGGACAGCTGCGAAATGCTCCTTATGGGCACTCCCTCCAGCCTCACAGGGCACTTTGCAGAAGGGGCACTGCTTCCCACAGCCAAACACTCGCTTGAAAATCTCATCCTGGGGCTTCACGGGCAGTTTGGAGAGTTTCAATTCAATACTCAAGACGTCAAACTCAGATAGTATTTGTTTTTCCAAATCAGGAAGAAAATTTTCCACACAGAAAGAAAATTGCCCCGGGTCAGACACATTTTTAAACTGTATTCCCACCAGGCTGTCTTTAGAAATAACCAGCTCCTTCTGCATTTCTTTGCAAAAAAATTCTAAAAATTCTGAGATCTCCTTAAAACATTTGTGTTTCAGGTTCTCTAGCATTTCCCTAATTTTCTTTACTATTGAGAAGAGAATGTCCTTCTCCAGGTTCTCCAAATGATTTTTGTCTGCATAGTGCCCCAATATTTGTCTCATGATCCAGCTCTTCACAAATTCTTCATAGGATGTGCTATATTGCACATAGCTGTTGACATCTCTCTCTTCCAACAGCTCCTTCAGAACTGTAAACTGGAAGAAGCTCCGACTCGCATATCCAATAGACTGTGTGCTGTTGATAATGTCATCCACTATTTCTACCCCAAGTCTTTTGTTGACATAGTCCACCAAGGCAGGATGGAGGCACTGGTCACAGAAATCCTTAGCCCGGTTTTGTTGTGCATCTCTTTCCAGATAATGATTTCTGAAAACGGAGAAATATTGTGGTTTTAATTTCTCCAGGCGTACCTGGGGATCATTTTCCTTAATGAAATCTTCATGCTTTTCTTGGAAGATATGAGCAGCTTCTCCTAAAATGTGAAGCTTTAGGTCCACTTCAAAGGAAGGTGATGTATGAAGTTTTTGAACCTCACCCTGCTGAAGCATTTGATTGATGATATGCAGAAGTTCAACACAATAGGTCTCATCATAATCTCCTCTGGAATCCTCTGGAGCTGACCTTTTCATCAATGAACAACATGCATTTGGACATCAATGAGTTAGCAACCTCCTCTAGTCTATGTGAATACTCTTTTTTAGAAAATATCCACTTCAACTTATACCATAGCGATGAATTTCTATACTCTGATTTCATTTGAAAGGTGTTCATCCTGTAGTTTAACAAAGATTTTGCTTCCTGTACTTTTAGGTTGACTGAGCTTCCACGATGAGACAATTCCTTCCTCAAACACCGTTCAATATCTAGATATACTTGCCGATTCTCTAGATGAATGGGTGATATTTCTGACAATGTTTCTCTCCACATCCTTTCAAACTCTCTTCTCAG